AATGCGCGCGCAAGCGAATTATACACAGCTGTCAGCTGCAGTGTACATTTGATATATGAATTTAAGGTTAAAGGTTAATAAATTTCAATTAAGAAAACTGAAAATTGCGGCGATTCTTTTGATGAGTTATCAGAACATCATCATAGAGAGTAACATTTTGATTTATTAGAAAGTTGCATATTTCATTTATACAAGTGATTAATTATACTAGAATTAACTTTCTTGCACTGCACTGTTGTATGTACATATGTTGTATGTAATTAAAGAGTAATTACGAAAACTAACCTCAAAACTAACATTATAAATTCCGTATATTAATACTATACTCGCAAATAATTAAACTTACAAGTGATATGAAGACGCCTGATTTTCTTCTTTGCAAATATAGCAATACATTGCCATAAATCACTTATAATTTTCATAGAACCAAACAGAACCAAACACAGTTCGCAAATAATTAACGTGCTTTCTAGTCTAGCATCCACGGTGGATAATCCACCGCGCACGCGTATGGAGTATGCGCATTACAATCTACGATCTTAATCTCTCCATCCTTGTCAATCTTCTCGGCTTCAACCGAATGTACAGGGACCATATGCCTATGCTCCTTCCAGTACTATATGTTCTAAGGAGCGCACACGTATGGAGTATGCGCATTACAATCTACGATCTTAATCTCTCCATCCTTGTCAATCTTCTCGGCTTCAACCGAATGTACATACAGGGACCATATGCCTATGCTCCTTCCAGTACTATATGTTCTAAGGATACGACCAATGTAGAATTAGAGTCCTAGATATCAGAGAAGCGCAATCGGCTTAAGTCAGTATCGCAAAATTACTAAGAAAAGTATTAAAAATGGCGTCGTTTGCAGACGAAATATGAAATCCACCAATCGTCTATTAGTCAGCCATTTTTAATACCATTGAATGAATGTCATGATTGGCTGACAGTCAGCTAATCAGAACGCGGAACATCGGTTGCGCTTCTCTGATATCTAGGACTCTATGTAGAATGAGCTTTATGCCATCTTATGTCAGAGCCTTGCGTTACTTCAACACGTTACCAGCCGTAAGACAAAACGTAAGTAAAGCCCATTCTACATTGGTCGTATCGTAGGCGTCGCAGGTCACAAATTTGTTGCAACAGCCAATCCGATGTGTCAATTAGAATGGGCCTTCTACAATAAGCCATAAGTCATAAATCGGAAGTAAGAAACTAAAAATTGACGACTGTGATTGGTCCATTTCTAGCTTATGACTTATGATTTGTGACTTACGGCTTATTGTAGAAGGCCCAGAAGTCTCACGACGCTTACGATGCTACCATGAAGGAATATATAAGGAGACTCCATTCAGTCTCGCCAGTCTACAAAACATGAACCCATTTTAGGTTTCGAGTTCAGTTTCCGATTCTTGACACTTGCAGCGCTCGTGAATTTAGTAGTGCTGCGCATAATGAGTGCGAGTAAGAGAAATGATCATTTTTCTTACTCGCACTCATCAGAATCGGAAACTGAACTCGAAACCTAAAATGGGTCCACTTTTATTTTACGGAGTGGAGTCTCCTTATATCTTACTTCCTGGATGCTACGATACGACCAATGTAGAATGGGCTTAACGCACAAAGAAAAACTTAGCATAAGAAGCTACTGAGTATGAGGGTGCAAACCCATGCAGCGGAATCATGGGCGTCGACTATAGTGTGGTTGATGTGGAGTACTCCATACTCGAAATTTTTATATGTGTAATTTCACACTTGGAAATCCGAAGAATATAAAAATTATTTCTTGATGAAATAATTTATTATTTAATATTTTATCAAAAATGAAAGTTGATTAAAGTAAAGTCGTATGTTTACAAATCGATCGGCGGTTGTCGCTTTTATGACCCTCGATCGGTATTTTACTAGTGCTTAGAAAATAGAGATAAAAAATGTAAAAGATGTCGTAAACTTTTTAAAAGAAGATGTGAGAGAAATTGAGTTAAAATACACAAAAATGATAGAACTCCTGTTTATAAATTGTGCAACATCCTGTACTGCGGAAAGATCTTTTTCTTAGGAGATTTTATATATCGACAAAATCGATTTTGTATATCGATTGTTTGTCGATCTGAAAATTCCTAAAGGGATGAACTTGTAAGTTGACAATCCCACCTGCGCCGATTTTCGGCGTGTAAGGAACAGAAAAATTGCTTCGTCTGGTGATTAAGAGACCAGCGCCGTTCAGATCCGGCGTTAAACTGTTCGGTTTACTTTCATATAGGTCTCTATATGAAAGTATACCGAAGAAGGCAACGGGAAACCACTTCGGTTTATTTAATTCCCAGGGTATCACTGGCGAGGAAATCATGGCCAACGTCCGGGGGACCGGATAAGGCACATGAAGAGGAAGAAGATTAAAAAATATTATGTTAAATAGTACAGCTGTGCTGCATACATTCATTCGGATGTTGAAAAAAATCTGGATGTTGAAGCTGTAATGGACGGATTTATAAGCAGGAAAAGTAAAAGTGTTGCAACTGCATATTGGTATATGCTTCAAAAAAGTACGAAAGTTACGCAACTCCCTTAATAAAAGAGTAATAATTCCTTACA